GTTGTTACTTGGTAAAATGGTGTTAAAGTAGCCTGGTGCATTACTAATGGGTTTTTTTCCTTCTTACTTTTAAAATAATTGTCATTGGGTCTGAGAAGAAAATAGTATAATTATTGAAGAAGTCTTATCAAAATACCTATAAACATTCCTATTTTAAGGAGTTGTTTCTTTTTTTAAGATGCCTTGTTTCTTTTTTGTTTACTTACTAAGAAAACACAAATATTTTTACTTGGTGCAAGCCACTGCAAGATAGTGGGATTTTGAGTGGCGGCGGCACAGGAAATGTTTATTTTTTTTTTAAAAAAATTGTCCTTAGTGTAAAATGTACAGTATTGAGTAACTCAATAATAGTAGTCTTCCAGTTCAACTAGACACCACCACTAAGCTTTCAGCATAATTCTGATTTGTCAGTTCAACTTGATGTGCTATCTGTGACTTTATGTTTAGTTTCACCATGGGAAATGTCAGCTAATTTTGCTCAGACACAAGAGTTTTTCGCAAAGTGTATTGTGTACAAATTGCAGAGAGCATACTGAATCCCTCATTTCATGATTTGGCACATCCAGCATTGATGGCAAGATTTCTCAAGGGCTTAGGGAACCCTTGAAGTGGTGTTTCATCATGCTGAGAGAATCAGTCTTTACTAGGTACTCAACAATTGCAATTTTTCACATTCTTATTAAAACTCTTTCAGAAAGTAAACAGAAGCATTACCTGTTACAACAGTAAAGTAACTTCATTTCCACTTGTTCTGTTATTTTTGAAATGTCGCTTTTGTATACTTTCATTGTCCCCCTCCCAAAAGTAGCTCATTACAATCAAGTAAGTCAGTGGTCAGTTTCTGCTTTCAAGAACTTGGTGAGTGGATCATGAATGGCTAAGACATCATTTGATGTTCTGGTCAAGTAATGAATATGTTGATGTAAGCTACCCTAAACATAACTTCTTTACTTACCGAGGACATTGCTTGCCTTTCTGTCAACCTGTGAACATGTGAAACAAATGATTGCATGGTTTTTTTCAATATTGTCTTTTGTTTATAAGAAATGTGAATGTGTGTTGGGATGATTACAATCAGTTAAACTAGTGGATTTTAGTGTACTTCAGCATGCCCAAATCTGTGTTGGATTATGGCTAACGGGTTAAACCCAAATGTGAATGGAAGTTTGCATATCATAATGCAGCATGTAGAGATTTCTATCTCTTTAGTCAAGATGTGTTATGACTTGCCAGTTTGAAGCTGAAGTATTTGCTTGTATCCCATTTTTATATTATACTAGCTTGGGGACCCGGCGTTGCCCGGGTTATTAGAGAAAGTGGGTAATGGTGGTTCTGTATGCCAAGTTTGGTCTTTATTGGTCTTTGGATAACGGCTGCGTTATTTTCAGGAAGTGAGTGAAGGTACTTGAAGTCCCATCATCATGGCCCATCCTACAAACAGCAGCAGGCTATAGAGTGGGTCATGAGGGCTCTGTGTGCCAAGTTTGGTCTTTATCAGTCATTAGATGAGGGTGGCAGTGGTGTCAGTAAGTGAGTGAAGGTACTGCAAGTCCCATCATCCAAAGTCCATCCCCTTTCAAACTGCAGCAGGATGTAGAGTGGATCATGGGGGCTCTGTGTGCCAAGTTTGGTCTTGATTGGTCATTAGAAGAGGGTTGCAGCAATCTTTGGAAGGGAGTGGAGGTACTTGAAGTCCCATCATCCATGGTCTGTCCTCCTCCAAACTGCAGCAGGATGTAGAGTGGGTCATTGCAGCTCCATGTGGCAAGTTTAGTCTTGATGAGTCATTGGCGAGGGTCTCAGTGGTCTCAGGAAGTGAGCAAAGGTACTGCAAGTCCCATCATCCATCTCCAAATTTTTCCAAACAACACCAGGACGTAAAGTGGGTCATGAGAGGTCTATGTGCCAAGTTTGGTCTTGATCCGTCATTGGATGAGGTTTGCAGAGGTCTCAGAATGTGAGTGAAGGTACTGGAAGTTCCATCATCCATGGTCCACCCTTCTCCAAAACTGCAGCAGGATGTAGAGTGGGTCATGGGGGCTCTGTGTGCCAACGTTGGTCTTGATTGGTCATTAGATGAGTTTTGCAGCAGTCTTGGGTAGTGGAGGTACTTGAAGTCCCATCATCCATTGTCTGTCGTCCTCCAAAGTGCTCCAGGATGTAGAGTGGGTCATTGAAGCTCCATGTGCCAAGTTTAGTCTTGATGTGTCATTGGCGAGGGTCTCAGTGGTCTCAGGAAGTGATTGAAGTGACTGCAAGTCCCATCATCCATTGTCAAATTCTTCCAAACCGCACCAGGATGTAGAGTGAGTTATGCAGGCTCTCTGTGTAAATTGTGGTCCTGATCCATCATCGTTGGCAGTTGTAATGGTCTTCGGAAGGGAGTGCAGGTATTGCAAGTCCCATCATCCATGGTGCATCCTCCTCCAAACCGCACCAGGATGTAGAGTGCGTCATGGAGACTCAGTGTGCCAAGTTTGGTCTCTATCGGATGAGGGTTGCAGTGGTCTCAAGAATTGAGCAATGGTACTGCAAGTCCCATAATCCACGGTCCATCCCCGGCCAAACCACACCAGGACGTACAGTGGGTCATGAGAGGTCTATGTGCGAAGTTTGGTCCTGATCAGTCATTGGATGAGGTTAACAGCGGTCTCAGAATGTGAGTGGTGGTACTGCAAGTCCCATCATCCATGGTTCATCCTCCTCCAAACTGCAGTAGGATGTAGAGTGGGTGATGGGGGCTCTGTGTGCCAAGTTTCGTCTGTATTGGGAGTGTTCTGACCCAGCCCCCGGCCTTTCCTTTCCTCTCTTTGTCATCTCGGAATGTTGGAAATGAGGCTGGCCAATCATTTGTAGTGTTCTGACCCAGCCCCCGGCCTTTCCTTTCCTCTCTTTGTCATCTCGGAATGTTGGAAATGAGGCTGGCCAATCAGAGACCATATGCAAATTTCCTTCTGTCATGCCCCGTTTCTGCCATGAACCCTCTTCTCCACCAGGGGCTCCTATTGAAGCTGGCCAATCAGAGACCATATGCAAATAGCACCACAGCGGCAGCCAATCAGAACGCTGGCACATACACTTCCGCCCTCCCTCCATCCTTCCTCTGTCCTATACAAACAAACACTCTTCTTTATTATATACTAGCTTGGGGACCCGGCGTTGCCCGGGTTATTAGAGAAAGTGGGTAATGGCGGTTCTGTATGCCAAGTTTGGTCTTTATTGGTCTTTGGATAACGGCTGCATTATTTTCAGGAAGTGAGTGAAGGTACTTGAAGTCCCATCATCCATGGCCATCCTCCTACAAACAGCAGCAGGATATAGAGTGGGTCATGGGGGCTCTGTGTGCCAAATTTGGTCTTTATCAGTCATTAGATGAGGGTGGCAGTGGTGTCAGTAAGTGAGTGAAGGTACTGCAAGTCCCATCATCCAAAGTCCATCCCCTTTCAAACTGCAGCAGGATGTAGAGTGGATCATGGGGGCTCTGTGTGCCAAGTGTGGTCTTGATTGGTCATTAGAAGAGGGTTGCAGCAATCTTCGGAAGGGAGTGGAGGTACTTGAAGTCCCATCATCCATGGTCTGTCCTCCTCCAAACTGCACCAGGATGTAGAGTGGGTCATTGGAGCTCCATGTGCCAAGTGTAGTCTTGATTAGTCATTGGCGAGGGTCTCAGTGGTCTCAGGAAGTGAGCAAAGGTACTGCAAGTCCCATCATCCATCTCCAAATTTTTCCAAACAACACCAGGTTGTAAAGTGGGTCATGAGAGGTCTATGTGCCAAGTTTGGTCTTGATCCGTCATTGGATGAGGTTTGCAGAGGTCTCAGAATGTGAGTGAAGGTACTGGAAGTTCCATCATCCATGGCCCACCCTTCTCCAAAACTGCAGCAGGATGTAGAGTGGGTCATGGGGGCTCTGTGTGCCAACTTTGGTCTTGATGGGTCATTAGATGAGTTTTGCAGCAGTCTTGGGTAGTGAAGGTACTTGAAGTCCCATCATCCATGGTCTGTCGTCCTCCAAACTGCTCCAGGATGTAGAGTGGGTCATTGAAGCTCCATGTGCCAAGTTTAGTCTTGATGAGTCATTGGCGAGGGTCTCCGTGGTCTCAGGAAGTGAGTGAAGTGACTGCAAGTCCCATCATCCATTGTTAAATTCTTCCAAACCGCACCAGGATGTAGAGTGGGTCATGCTGGGTCTCTGTGTAAATTGCGGTCCTGATCCATCATCGTTGGTAGTTGTAATGGTCTTAGGAAGGGAGTGCAGGTATTGCAAGTCCCATCGTCCATGGTGCATCCTCCTTCAAACTGCACCTGGATGTAGAGTGCGTCATGGAGACTCAGTGTGCCAAGTTTGGTATTTATGGTAATTGGATGAGGGTTGCAGTGGTCTGAAGAATTGATCAATGGTACTGCAAGTCCCATAATCCACGGTCCATCTCCGGCCAAACCACAGCAGGACGTAAAGTGGTTCATGAGAGGTCTATGTGCGAAGTTTGGTCCTGATCAGTCATTGGATAAGGTTAACAGCGGTCTCAGAATGTGAGTGGTGGTACTGCAAGTCCCATCATCCATGGTTCATACTCCTCCACACTGCAGTAGCATGTAGAGTGGGTGATGGGGGCTCTGTCTGCCTATTTCGGTCTGTATTGGTAGTGTTCTGACCCAGCCCCCGGCCTTTCCTTTCCTCTCTTTGTCATCTCGGAATGTTGGATTTGAGGCTGGCCAATCAGAGACCATATGCAAATTTCCTTCTGTCATGCCCCGTTTCTGCCATGAACCCTCTTCTCCACCAGGGGCTCCTCTTGAAGCTGCCCAATCAGAGACCATATGCAAATAGCACCACAGCGGCAGCCAATCAGAACGCTGCCACATACACCGCCCTCCCTCCACAATTCCTCTGTCCGATACAAACACTCTTCTTTATTATATATATAGATATAGATATGCATTGGCACGTAATCATAGTTCTTCCAAGCAATGTGATTTTAATGTTTATTTTTTCTCCAGGGGGATCGTGGACCACAAGGACCTCCTGGTTCTCCCGGTGAAGATGGAATGAGAGTATGTCATTCACAGTTTCTTACCATTATTAGACTGCACAATAAAATCTATAGGAAATATTGATTTCATGAACTAATGCTTTGATTTTGTTCTGTTTACATCAGGGAGAAGATGGAGAGGTTGGACCAAGAGGCCTCCCAGGTGAAGCTGTAAGCAAAGCTTTATTATTGCTCACTATTCATAATGTCCACCAATTACTTATGTTGGGGTTTTAGCAATGGAAGGTATCATTTGCGCATCCAAATGCAGCAGCAAAGTTATGTTCTATTTTGAGATCATTTCTGAATGAATACTCTTATAGTGATTTTGTCCATAAAGGTTCTTCTGTTTGAGTTTTTTTCTTAATGAAGTAAATCAACACATTCCCTTTTTCATTTCTCAAAAATTGTGTTATTTTTGAACACATATAATTTAAATCTTGTTAGGATTTCTTATTATAGAAGTGCATTCCTATGAGTTAAGATAGAAATGATCCTGACTTTTGAAAACTCTTTAACATCTTTGTTTTACCTTGAAATATATTATAATCCTACTGTATCTGTGTTATCAATTACATATACTAATTTCTTTGGCTTGATTCACAGTTTGGCTTGGTTCATGTAGGCTCCAAAATTATATGTGGTAAAATGATGAGTGTTTCTTAGGCCTCATTTGCACTGCCTTATAATGCAGTTTAAAACTGTATTACATAGTCAGTGTAGACCCATGTAATGCAGTTTAATTGCATTAAACCAGTCTATTATACCAGTCTATTATATTATAGACTGTATTATACCAGTCTATTCGGACCATATAATACAATTTCATACTGCATTATATGGCAGCGTAGATGGCGTCTTAGTCTCTGTTACATGCAGACTCTTAGTAAACTGTGATGGGATTTCATTTTAAGATGATTTTCTTCAATTATGTGCTTATATGTGAATGTTCACATAGTCTTTATTTTATTATCACTGCTTCCATGTCTGACTACAAGAAAGAGAGCACATGGATAAGGATTACTTCTGAATATGCATGCCCACTTTGTTCTACAACATGTTCTACAAACAGTATAATAGAAAACAATAGATGCATTTCTGAGAATTACACACTAAAGGCTTCTGTAAACCAGGCTCTTTTGTCTACAAATACAGCACATACTTCAGCAGGTAGAATTAGAAAAGACAGCTGCCTAAAAGACTAGAGAGATAATGCAAATGACCATGGACAGTATTGACATAGATGGCCAATGGTTTGACTCAGTAAAAAGGCAGTTTTTTAAATTATTAAACAGAGCTTTGAAAATTGTAATGTTTCTGAGCTAATTTGAGATGAATATTTGCTTCAGCTCTGCAAGTTGCCTCTCCAAGCTTGTGGGCAAAAAGGGGGCAAATCCAACAGGTTATAGATAGTTTTTTGTATTACTGTAAGGAGGTGAAGTCAACATACACCTTGTTCCTTTTTGCTTTCTTTCCATTAACTCAGAGTTCTATGACATTGTAAATGCCAGAATATGAGGTGGAGCTCTCTGAGGTGTGCTCTGATGAATTTGCCCAACACTTTGCTAGCAAAATTGGTTTTACTCATTTGGACATGAGAGCAGACTCTAAAGCTGTAACTGATGAGTAAATTGAATTTTCTGCAGCTTCAGGGTTTGGAGAAGTTGCTTGAAAGATCATGCCAATCACTTAGTTATTTAGACCAGTTTTCATACTAGCTAATGAGAGCACCTAATGGAAGGCTGATCTCTTGGGCAGTGAGGCTCTAAACATTTCTCTGAAAGATGTATATATTCCATTCCTCTGTAAGGAAAAGGCTGTGAGAACATCAAGAATCATTTTTGATTCTAACATCCTTTTAACGAATGGACAGGCCTTATTCTTATCCTTTTAAGAATAAGGTATTAGTGCACAGGTGGGCAAAGTGTAGCCACTAGAACATTGTTGTACCTCTTATGGGTCTTCATACACTTCATACTTCATACTTACCAAAACCTGTGCTAAGTCCTTGCTTAAATATTGCTTCCAGAGGCCCAAAGCCTGTAGATTGGTCCAATAGATGTGTGGGTGTTATTTTTAGGCAAAGTTCTGGCTTCTTTCCAAACATGAAGTCATAGAAGGATAGGTAAAAGAACCGGGGTAATGTTTTTTAGTACAAACGTTACTATGGAGTCTAAATATTTTTAGAGAAACTGACAAAACTACCTCTGGGTATTCCTTGCCAACAAATACTCTATGAAATTCATGTGGCTGCCATAAGATGATTTGAAGGCACATGCACATAAGCACTGTCAGGATAAGACTATAGAGTTGTTTAATTTCTGGCATGCTAATGGTCTCTCCTGGAATCTCTTGCCTACTACAGCTTCTTGTCATGTTTCATGTGAACCAACAATTTTATGGAGTTTTTTTCCCCCCTCACAGGGTCAGCGAGGATTACTGGGCCCAAGAGGAACTCCCGGACCACCAGGACAACCTGTATGTATTTTCTAAAGAAATTCAGTAGCTTGTGTTTTGAATTTTCTTATAAATATGTCTCTGATTAGCATAATTTTGTTCTGGTCTTCAATATAGGGAATCGCTGGTGTTGATGGCCCACAGGGACCAAAAGGAAACTTGGTAGGTAGCTGCTAAGGGTTTATTGTTTGTGAAGATAAATAAATAGTCTTTTATTACCGTGTTAGCACTATCAGTTTCTTAATACTAATTACATGTGCCTTAGATGCAAATGAATAGACTGGATGAATCTGTTTGTGTGTGGCATTAGTGAAAACATAGAATTATTAGCCCATCAAAAATGCTCTTTTGAGATAACATCTGCATGAGGAGTACAGAAGAGAAAATTAAATAACATGCTATGTGCAATTTTTGGGCAGAATAAGTTTTGACATGTGAATTTTTCATCACTGCAGGATTCTTCATGTTCAGATTTTGTGACATTCTAAAAACACATTTTAGAACATTTGCCAAATATTTTTTAATATTCCTTCAATTCCTAACATATGCTGAACTTATAACACTTTTGGTGGTGGTCTAAAGGGGTGAAGAAATAAAAATAAAATAAATAAAATAAAATATAAATAAAAATAAAAATTTCCCCTTGCATTTTTTCACAACAGGGCCCACAAGGGGAACCTGGACCTCCTGGCCAGCAAGGAATCCCAGGCCCACAAGTAAGTATTCAGTGACTTTTCCACCAAAGAACGTTAAAGAGCTAAAGAGCAATAAGGGTGATGGTATGCCTTTTCCCCTTCAGTGAGCTTATTCTTGCTTCTAGGCTTTCATAAACTATCCTGAAAATATCCCTACTGCAAGCAAAGGCAGCCGGGGAATGGTGGGATCATGTTTGCACAGACACTTCCCCCTCTTGACTTTGCCCTCCTTTAGGGAGAGATAAAAAAATGACTCATTTAGAGCTCTCTGAATGCCAACAAGAGCAGCCACACCTGGAGGAGGGATCCGTATTGGATCAAGTTGCATGTGTTTACTGCCAGCAAAGTAGCCAGAATAAAAGCTCTTATAACCTCTTGCTCTTTCTTCCCTTCTTTCTTTTAATGGAGACTTTTTTGAAACATCTTCATGAGGCAGCTAAATGGGGAAAGTATTATTGTTGTCTTTCATTTATAACAATCTGCAATCTTTTAAATAGGGGCTTCCTGGTCCACAAGGTCCAATTGGAGTTCCTGGTGAAAAAGTAAGTGAAACTCCATTACTGAATAAACAAAAGATCAAATCTGAAATTCTTGGATGTGTGAATTGGTGTTGTCTTTAATTAGAACAAGGTTGTTCAAACTTGTCCCATGAAAAAGCATTGGGCAGCTATTCTGCCTTGTCTACACACACACACACACACACACACCACACTGTGTTTGTATATGTGGTCACAAAATATAGAAGAACTGGTAGGGAAACTCAAATGGGAAATTTTCTTAAAACCAGGGAATTCTATAATAAAAGTACAAGGGTCATTTTAAATTATAATTATGAATTGTCTAGGTTGTAACCATTGTTCCCTAAGACCACACAGCTCATTTATTCGTACTCTAGAAAATGGCTGTAATTCAATGGAATAACATTGTGCTTTATATCTAGAAGGCCTCAAATACTCAGATTCAATCCCAGACATCTGTCCAAATGGGACTGGAACAGATTTTCATCTGTGACCACTGCCATTCTGTGCAGACAGTACTAAGCTACAGTATATGGACTAGTGATTTCATGCTCTCTTAAAGCAACAGTTTACAATTCTACAAGAACTTTTGACATTTTTATTGCAATGAATTTATGATATTGAAATAATCACCAAGAGAGTGATCTGCACAGTTGTTCATCTTTGCATGGCATTTAGTTAATCTTGATTTAACTATTCCTTTCTTACGAAGCCCAGCCCATCTTGGACAGGTCTTTTTGTTGTCTCCTGTCCAGGAAAAGACTAAATCAAAGTCATTATAGTGTTGTCCCAGTGCTGTGGCATTAGATTGGCTTGGATCATATGGTCACAGTGGCAGCTAGTGGTTTCCATGTCAATGATATAGTGAATAATAATATGTTATTATACTGCCAATAATAATCAGTTATATCCATGTGAAAATGTTCATAGAGGTATAAACATAGGGATAGGGAAATCTGTCCCCCTTTTTTACTTATGTTCTGAATTTCATCTGTCCCTTCCATCCTTTTCTTTTTAGTTTCATCTTGGGTAGCAAGGCTTTCTGTTTTCTTCCTGCATGTTAATTCATACCATTTAAATGCATTTTTCATAATTTCCATAAATTAGGCAGATTCCTGATAATTAAACACAGTTTCTTTCAGTAAGGCTTATTATTCTAGCCCCTTACATCTTAAAACATAAATTTTGTTTATTGCACACTTTATCTCTCAGGCAAGCCCTGTAAGTCTCTCAGATGCTTGAGGCAAGGTTTGCATTTTCTCACAGCATCTCTTAGGGACTGTGAAACAAGTGTACTACTTTGAATGAGGTTGCTCAGTTCAATGACATTCCTTTCCATTCCTTGTTGGGCAATTCAGCTGTAGATCTTACATTTAGTTATTCTATAAGCAATTTAGCCTTTCTCATCTTAGTCTTACTTTTTGAAACCTTGTATTTCACACCAACTAGTCTTTTATTTTCTTGTATTTAATAATATTCACAAAACAATATTAAAATCATGAAGAAATTTGCATACATTTGGTTACTGATGTCCTGTACCTTTGTATCTTCAGTTAATGTTGAACCATGCTTTTGCTTCTTTCTTCCTCTTTCATTTTATATAATATAAAAGTTTGAAAAGGTTTATGAATCAAAATGCATGTATTTTTGTTTTAACCATGTTACTCAGTGAGATTGTAGAACACACAACAAATGCTTCCCACAGTCCATTATAAGAACCTTTTAGCTACCAGAGATTCAGAGACCCAGCATATATTATTTTCCTACATTGACTTGAAGTCACAATTTCAGAAAAAAATGCATTTTTCTACATTTGAAATAGACACAACATTTTCTTGCTATACTTAAAAGTGAATATAAAACAGCACACTTTCCACCTGGAGTTTATCTATACTCAAAGCACCAACTGGAGTCAGTAACGGCAGGGTTTGTGGCGGAAAATATCTATAGGCATTTTTTGAATGTAGCTTGCAATATGTTCTGATGTAACATACGTCCGGATCCTTTTATTAACCTGACTGTTGAGGGACCATGTTGGAAGCATCAGGAATACCAAATCTCAGGAATAAGTTGTGGAAGGAAGGTGAAAACCTCAATGCAAATAAACTCATTCTTTCCTAGATTTTTAAGCAGTGGCTAACATGTGTTCATACAATGTAGGTCAGATCAAGTGAGCGGTATCCTAGGGAGATTCTACACAGACAGAAAATGCAAACCCGATAGATGCCCTTAGCCATCTTATGGGATAACCCTCTCCCTGCTGTGTTGTGGCTGTCGCCAATTGTGACTTCCCCTTCCTTCTAGAAGTCACTCTGGCTGACATTAGCCAAAGCACCCACTCCCCAAGTGTTGAAACTCAGATGCCTTTAAAGAGCCAGTATTGTAAACAATCAACAGTTTATTAAATCAAAGAAAACAGAGCTCAGAGACACTTCCTTCAATACCTCTGGCTTAAACTCAAAGTTTGCATCAATTTGCAGCTAAAAAACCAAAACAAGCAGATAAACCGGATTATACTGGCAAAAAATCTGGGTTAAACAAGAGTTTAAGCTAAATGCACCAAAATAACAAAGTTCAAAGATAAGGCCAAAACAAAACACTGGAGAGAAGCCGTTGTCCAAAATCGGTCCAAGGTCAAAGAAGTCCCAGTTGTCAATAACAGAGTCCAAAAGCAGCATCGTCATCAGTAAACAGCCCGTGGTCAAGGAGAGGGAATTCCGCACTTACGAGAATCCAAGCCGGTCATCACGAAGAATACAGCAACCTGCAATTCCAGGACCCAAGCCCAACAAGAGAAGTGACAGCAACAAAACCCAAGGCACATAGCCAACACTTTGCCTACTGCAAAGTTCCAAACTTTCAGTGCCTTCCTTTATCCTACAACTCATCATCCGTTGATGAGCTGCCCTCCGCCCTTTCTTCATCACTATCAGCTGTCTTACCCATTACAGCTGAGTGCCAACACCCATCTCTCCAACTTTTTCACCTCCTGTCAAGACTTAAGTCTCCCCATGAATCCCTGGTATCTCCAGACTGCCAATCCCCAGGATACGTGGGTGTGTTCTAGCTGCTGATAGCCATGGCATGAGGGAAAGGGATATCAAGAGGACTGGGTCAAAATTCCGTTTGTTTTCCAAGTTAACTTAATCTGGGGCAGAACATCCCTACGTAGTGTTTAACTACTGAGGGTCTAATCTGTCTGCAGCTGTAATGGATGCTGTATAGAGATTCCCCTTATAGTGCACAGGAGCAGACTAGAAAGCAGACTGTCCCCATTCCTGCCCACTCCACTGAATGCTCTGTCCTTGTAGAGGAGTACTCCAAATTGACCCAAATAATCTTTCAGGGCACACATGACCTTACTGATTGCAATTCAAAATAGTACAGCGCTCTCCCTCCTCTCCCTAAGTTGTAGAGGACATAAATGGACTGCACAATTAGAGTAGGTGTGAAATTTTCTGAACATCTTATTAAGAATAATAGAAGTGCTTACCTGTAAAATGTCATTGACTTTGCTCTTGCTTTAGCGCATAGACTTTTAGCTCATCTTACAGCTTTGGGATGTGAAAAGTAGCTGTAACTTAAGATTTGAGCCAAATGACCCCCCCCCCCCCACACACACACACACTTTCTGTTGGCCATTTACTTACTTTTTGCTTTATCAAAAATGCACCCAAAAAGGGAGTAAGCCGAATAAAGAATGCTGTTCCTCTCTGTTACTCTTCTCACTGATTATATCCTTGGAGAGCAAACAGACAGCAAGAGCAAGTAAGAGAAACAGGTGAAATGACCTGTCATTTTCCCATTAGGGATTCAACAGTTGCCACAGGAAGTCGGCTTTTAATCCTGGTCTTCTCAGCCTCTTTATAATGTCTGTGAATCTCTTAGATTTTAGTGAGATTTAATTTTTGTTATAAATTCTAGTTTGTAGAAGTAGTGTATTTGAGGGAGAGTTTGCAGCAGACTTGGAACATATATTTCTTCTACCCCATTTTTCTGTTGCCATTGGCAATGTGGAGACTGGGATATATTCTTTTCTTGAAATGTAATTATTTCAGGTGTGTGTGTGTGTGTATGTGTATGTATGTATATATATATGATTCATGCATTCATTCATTTTAATTTCAAGGACTGTGGTCTCCAGTCTCCTGAGGAGAGTTTTATTAGCATGCATGACTCTCTGTATGGGAGAATATTTGATTTCCAAAAGTCACATTCTGTCTTGTGATAATTAGAAATGGCCCTCAGAATAATGTTTCTTTTATACATTGAAGGGCAAATCAAGCTTGTAGACACTAGGCAGACAGCCTTGAACTTCCAAACTCACTGTGTTGAAATTAGACTGACTGATTGAATAGAACATTTCCTCAGTTAAAACACATACTTACAGGGACTTTAGAGTGAATGTAGATACACTTCCAAAAAAATAGCGCTTGATGTCAGGTTATACATGCGTGTGATGTTTGAAAGGGCATTGAACTCCTAGTATTCTCTTGTTGATGAGGCAGTTGAATAGAATTGGTACCTCACATGCATCTTGATCAGGGGCATTTTCTGCATTCCCAACTGCACACTAGAGTTCTTTTTATCGTATCAGAAGTTACTTGATAACATACTGCAAATTGCTTCTGGCATGAGAAAATTGACCGTCAACAGAGATGTTGCCCAGGGAACGCCCAGATGTGTTACCATCCTGCTCAGAGGCTTCTCTTATGTCCCTGCAAGCTAGAGCAGATAGATGGGAGTTCACCCTGTCTCACAGATTTGAATTGGCAACCTTCAGATCAGCAGTCCAGCCGGCACAATGGTTTAACCCATTGCACCACCGCAGCTCTCACACTAGAGTGCAAAATAGAGATATAAATCTTTACTAAGTTTTCTGTAAAAGGAAGACATTAGTAATTTATGAAATTTCTTCCTCTTACAGGAAAGTCCCTTAAAAATGTTCCTGGCTTGAAGATTAATGTGGGACTTACTATGTGCAAAATTTGCATGTGGTTTTCTCATTAAGGACATACAATATTCTTAATAGAAAAATAGTATTTCTGCATATAAATGCTGTTTCCTGCTCAAATGGTGTTTGGGTGTCTATCACTGCTTTTACATAACTTTCTTCCCTGTGTTTGTTATCTTGGAGGATTCCTAACCAATCAGATTAAATATTGAATATTTTGAGGTATCAGTTTATACTTGGTAAATATGAGCACTCTTGGCAAGCTCAGGGGGAAATGGCAAATGTTGGTGAGCTCAGAGAAGCACTAGCAAATGCTGATAGTCTCACAAAGGAGACTGACTGCATTCACTGACAATTTTCTAAAGCTTGGAAATCTCTCTCTTTCTCTCTGTTGTCAAATCACCCAATTTTATTTGTGATTGTCATCATTCATGAAGAAATGTTGACACAGAACTGATTTTGAATACTGGCTCATATCTTAATTGGATCAAAGAAATGGGGGTACAAACGCCATAAGAAAATAGACCTAAATATTCTAAAGGCATCAGATCTTGTCTGATCTTGAAAATTTATCCCTGGTTTAGTACTTCAATTAGAGATTAACAATAAATATCAATTATTGTAGGCTATATTTCAGAGGAGGAAAAGCCAAAACCCTATGAAATTCACGGGGTTGTCATAAGTAAACAGACAACTTTAACACACACACATTCATACATAGGTGTGATAAAATTTGCTATTTTCAAAAGCACTTTGAAAGTTATTCCACAGCCAGCATGGGCAGTGCCAGTGGCGTTACAATGCAGTATGGCTTCTGAGAAGGATTATGGAGGTTGTAAGTAAAGTATCTTTTGCAACCTCTGCTAATAAGTTAGTATAACTCTTTCAGTTGTGAATGTAGCCCTTCCATGTTCAAATAACACATTTCTAAGTATCAGTCAGGTGTCAAGTTCAAAATGACTTTTACAAGGTTCTGAATGTGGGGACATTATCTCCTTTCCTTCTTACGGATTGCATTTTCACTTTGTTCATAAGTAATCTTTTGCTTGCAGCCATTTGCAGCCTTGTGATATCTTATCTTTGATTGGTTTCTCAAAAGTGTTTCTTCATCTCCCTTCAGGGACCTGCGGGCAAGCCTGGCCTTGCTGGACTTCCTGGTGCTGATGGCCCTCCTGTAAGTAGTATAACATTTTGTCAATTTTTATTTTGTTTTAGGGAGACAAAAAAATCACTTTGAAGCGCCATGCTCATGAATTTTAACAAGGCAATTGCATCACTGATAGCTAGCAGCAGAACCTGTAAAACATATCCAGTTTCATTATTTGAACTTGATCCATGTTTCTCATCTAGGTCTGTAAGTTTCATAAAAGAGCCACTAAAGGGCAGGCAAGAAACACCAGGGACACTGAAGAAGGAAAGAAGAAAAGAAAACACATTTAGATGTCTAACATGTTTGGTCTGGTGCAGATTTAAATTACGGGAAATGAATATGATGGAGAGGGTAGGAGAGACCTGTCTTTGCAGGGAAATGTGATTTTTTATTCTGTTGGCAGGATTTTTGTCTGTCATCCAACTGCTGCGATAAGGAGAAGGAACACTTGACTTGTTAATGCTGATAACTGCTTTTATGTTCCAACCCCAAACTAAGAAAATTAAATTCTGAGCAAGTAAAGTCAATTAATCATAATGAAGTGTTTTCTAGCACCTTAAAAATAACTCATTTATTATGCCAAGCTTTTCTTTGTCAGTGAATCTTCATCAGAGGGAAATAGCCCTCTATTTAGGCTGTTTGACTTGGTGAAACAAATTATAGTTAGCTAGTTGTATGCATTTTCATCGATTGATTTATTAAATTTATATATGAAAAATCTGGTATTTCTTAAACAAAAAGCCTATTTTCTTTGTTCATTTATAATGTATCTGTCTTCGACCAAACATTCGATCTTTTGCAGAGTATGCTGGGATGTTGTTGTTGTTATTGATTATTAGCCTCTTCGTTTAATAATATAATAATAAAACTTTATTTATATACCATTCTATCTCCCCAAGGGGGACTCAGGGCGGTTTCCAAGTAACATCACTGAAACATACAAAGTAAACAGCAAACATACAATTAACAAAACAGCATAAGCATAAAATTATCACAATAACACATGCATATTAAAAATAATCCTGCCTATTCAGAGCAATTAAAAAGAGCAGTTTCTAGGGTTATCTGGAAAGAAGGACAGACAGCTACAGTGAATTTTAGATATTAGTCAGAAGTAAGCCACAGTGAAACCAAATGTGAAGACAAAGTTCAAAACTAGCCCTACCCAGAATAGATATACCATAATCAATGCGATTTCTGTTAGTTGTGACTAGGGCCCCTTCCACACGACTGAATAAAATACCACATTTTCTGCTTTGAACTGGAATATATGGCATTGTATATTCAGATAACCTACTTCAAAGCAGATATTGTGAGATTTTCTGCCTTCATATTCTGGGTTATATGGATGTATGGAACGGCCCCAACAAGTAAGGAACATGGCATTTTAGTAAGGAACATGGCATTTAAAAGTAAGAGCTCAATTCAGTTGTTAATCCCAGCTGAAGTAAACCAATTCAAATGAATTTAAATAAATTTTGATTTTACCAAGTTTCCATTGATTAAGCTAGCCCCTTCTAGATAGGACACATAGTTGGATGTAACCTTATCACTACTTTGTTGTTTTATATGTAATGAAGGATAATAGAATACAATAATCCAAGAGTGCATAACTGTAAACTGAGCAGGGGCTATTTTGTCCTTCCTTCAATTCCCTAGCAGGCTGCAATACTAGGTTGCAGTGAACCCTAAGTGACATGGTATCACCTCCAGCCACCATTTTGACCAATTTTCCTGATTTTTTTCTATTTTGAGCAGGATTTTGAGGATCCAATAGGGTAGGGAGTGAATTGTTACCTTTTGGGGGTGTTTTAGAGAGTTTTGGAGAGGAGACAAAAATAACTCCCAAATCAACCTGAATATTTTTTTAAAAAAATATTTCAGAAAATCTGGGGGTTTGAGAGATTTGTGGTCGACACTTTGGCCACTCCTGAACTCTGCAAGAACCCAACATAGAGAGGGAATGTGAGGACAAAAGAGAACATAGAGGGAGGAAAATCATAATCTATGTCTTCTGACATAATAGGTTTTGTTCAGTGAAGTGATACTTTAGGTTTAGTGTATATAGAATTAGACCTGAGTCATTATTAAACTCATAATTATTTTGGCTTTCTGAAAATGGCTGTATGGATCACAAAACAGAAAAGTTATTACTATCTTCAACTGCTTGTGGATTTTGCCCAAGTGGAAGAGCCTTCTGATTATTGATTTCCTTGTGCTGTAAAATATTTTCATTGCTGTTTTCTTTCATCTTGTTGTGTTATAATTTTAATGGTGTGCCTAGTATAATGTTCAGTGACAGATAAAAATAATCGATTCACAGCATCCATAGAAAAATGCATCAAATGGGAAAATTCACAAATGTTGACATGCCCTTGCATTCTTTTTATGGAATGACTTGGTCCTAAAACAAAACAGCAGCTTTCAAAATGTCTTTTTATCTTAGACAGTAATTTGTTATTTCATGAAAAGTCACTGAAGTGTTTTAATACTGTCAATGTGATTAGATGAATCTCATGAGATTTCCTACAGCCTTTTTGAAATGATTTTGGTATTTCCTTATGAAGTATGTCTGTGGGCTATTATTTCTAAGTACTGCAGAAATCCAATGTGTACCTAAGGCTGGAATGAGACATTATGAGTGATTGCTGCCTACCACTGAGATCAGCAGTGCCGTTTCTCCTCTTTCGGGTTTCCCCGCTAACATCTAGTGCTGAAAGATGTATGATGGGATATCACCCTTACCAGGAAGAAGAAGAAAAGATCAGGAGAGACATTGCAGTTGGTTTTGTCAGAAATAATGTGCCTGGTTTACCATCCCCTCCCCATAAAAGGCAGGAGCAAAATGAGAATTAGAGTAAAAATATGTCTGGGTTGATGACATCATAATTATCCATTTTTATTTTCTCCTTGCTGTTGATTTGGTCAAATGGAACTGAGCACTGGGTTTATGTCAATTTTAATGGCTCTCAGATGTCCCTTGTCATTTTAACTAATTTTAAACAAAATATCTGCATATCTCTTTGAAATCTGAGATGAGCTAAAGAAAGCACATATCTATACAATGACCACAATTTTCCATCTAGGATTTGGAACCCATGCAGTTCACCCCCTGAAGGCAGCTTTCAAACACCAAGTGTGTATTGCAAAGGGGAGGGCAGGCCATCTCTGAAAGCAGTTGACTATTGACTCTTGAAGAAATTGCTGAGATCTTGAGCAACCTGCTGAAGAACCTGGGAAAGCAAAGTCAGCTTTCTTCTCCCAGTTGTAGAACTGTAACCAGACCATGGGCTAACCGGGTGCCTTTCCCATCTCTCATTGCCCCCCCCCCAAAACACACACACACACACACACACACACACATGCTCCTGGTTACTGCAGAGATATGACATCACACCTTAAATGCGCAAAAGCTGCCAAGGGCTGTGGAAAGTGTGGAACCATGGAATTACTAGTTCCTTCTCTATGATCAGAAAAGGTTAATATGCATAACCCTAGGCTGCACATGTATATGTCCTCAGAAGGATTCTTACCACAGCCATGAATTCATGGAAGTGAATCCTCCAAACTTGTAAAGGTGGCCACTGCTAGACAATACAGTCCTTATTCAAAGATCTGCCAGTTGCAAGATTTTAGGATTAGGTGTTCCTTCGTCCAGTCAAAATGTCCTGTTGTTTGCAGTTTGCTCTTCTTCCATGCATTTTTGGGAGACCTGCTGACAGAACAGCTTGCCAGAACTGCTTTACAATGGAGTATGCAGAAGAGCCTTAAGGAAAATAAAAGTGGGAGAGGGGCTTCCAGGATTTACGATATTACTCCAGATCAGAACCTCCTCCAGGCCATCAACACAGTCACAATGTTGTCACATAAATTAAACTGAGAAAAATGTAATTCTAAGTAGTTTCCAGTTTTAGGTTTTGATTCAGTTCCACTTCAAAACTTGATTTAACTTTCCCTTGCCATTTTAATTGGTTATGATTTCTGTTGGTTTTTTAAAAGGTGGATAGACATATTCATTGAAGAGAGTAGTTTCATAAACTATATCGAAATGACAACCTATGTGTTGCTGAATGTATAACAACGGAAGGATATAGATAACTGCTGAATTCCCTGCTTGAGAGGAAATACCTAGATCGTTGTTCCAATGATCAAACTGGACTCTTACAGTCAATTGCAAATGCATACTGAGTTTATGGTGAGGATGTAATCTAAAAAATCTTGAGAATTATAGCTTGAAGACTTGCTAAAACTTTGATTAGAAAATTCCAGTTTTCCCCAACTGCTTTCATAGGAGAAAAGAAAACTATGAAATTCATATTCATTGTCTACAAAATAAACACCTGGTATGGAAGAATCAGGCTGAATTTATTTATATGTATAAATGTATGGATTCAACAGAATGTGCCTAATGGTGTCTACACATTTGCATACTAACATACCATCATGTTTTGTAAATAGGGTCACCCAGGGAAAGAAGGCCAATCTGGAGACAAAGGAGCATTGGTATGTTTATCCTTTCTCGCTATGTGAATAAATGCTTGTATTATATTAAGAATGGGGTATATGGAACAAAGCCTTTTTATGTCCTAAGTTTCATTTATGTCCCAAAGGTAAATGTACAATTAATAATGTCTCTATTAAGAAGAATAAGAATAATGGTAGATATACATTGTTTCATATATAGGGTGATGCAAGGGGATATACTGAAAGTATAAGTTTTCTGTCCCTTGGCATTTTCTACCTTCTTCCTTTAATTCTTATATGTAATATCATTTGACAGTCTTACATCTATTCACCTCTTCCCTCAAGCCCCTGTCTCCTTCCCTTTCAGTACTGTTCAGTTATTACTATGTTAGGAAAGCTTTTTCTGTCGTGAAAGATTACACTATTTTGAAACAATTAATTGAAGATACCTCACCTGTTTGGGCTGACAAAGTGATTCAGCATGAGAAGGCATGCAAATGGACATGTTTATGTGTTTGCTCATGGTCGTAGGTGAACAAAAAAGAGCCCAAGCCATTTTGATATTGTAAGGCTAATCAGTAATAGCCCTCTTGTGTTTTAGATCATTTCTGTAAAGTCTACATGGGTATTGAATAGCAGTTCATAGTCTAGCCATTTCTTTTTAACTGTTTGTTTAGCTATCTCTCTTTTCATATGTTAAGAAAGAAAATTATAACAGAATTGTGTTATAGAGAGTATATAGCAAATACTTACTGAGATGGATGGCAAAGCTGTTGAAAGAGTAGGGGCTGTAATTGAACATTTGAGGGCAGGTTTGAGTCAGAAAGCCTTTGGTTGAATTTTGGCCTCTCCTGTCTGAAACCCTGGGAATGAGATGTCATTCAGTGTAGACAATCTTGAACTAGGTGGATGGAGGTCTGAGTCAGTAAAAGGCAGCTTCTTTGTCAGTTTCTTAGATTTTTGACAGTTTTCCCTTCAATGCTTTCTTGAAAAAACTTAGGGGAGTGCAGTTACCTGTTCTCTTCTCTCTTTTTTCTTCTTCTGCCAACTCATTATACAATTGAGATGAATGTCTGGGCTGTACAAAAGCCTATTTTTCTGCAGACAAAGTCCATGCCTTTTCACATATATTCTCCAATACATGCTTTGGATAGCTTTGCTTTCTGTCTTTAAGGATACAGCAATAATCTTTTTAAGCTTTCAGAGTAAATATATGCCCCATATAGTGTGCACTCTATAGCTTAGATTTCCAGATTCTGGGCTGAAATCAGTTCTGATGACTGATTAATTTATGCTATTAGAAGCACTGTTAGTTTCACCGGGCTCTGCCAATTGGATTTGCAACTCATCAGTGTAGCTGCAGAATTTTGAACTGTCCCATGACATGGAGGTGAACATGGCAGGTTGAAGCCTAAGCCCCCTTTGTGACATTCACATGGTCCATTTAGTACCATGAGTGAATGGAATTGGAGTACACAAACTGTCTAGAGTTTAGTACATATAAACACCAGTGTATTTGTACATATTTGAGTTTAAGCAATGACAGCACTAAAAGAACCTTGTATTCAGTTGTCACAATTGTAAATGTGATCATTGAGCAATCTGAAGAAATGCTAGAATGGAAAAGGTAATGTTTACAATTCCTTGATAGTAGGGAGTATCATGGGTATAGACAGTAGCATGGTAGATTCATTCAGAAACTATCAAGTAAATTCTGGGAGTTTTTTTAGAAATGTTTTTCAATACAGCAACCTAAGACAAGTATCTGTAAATACTATCTAGTGGTGAATGTCACCTTTATGAGAGATAAAATAAAATAAATCTTTGGATGTTCCTGACCACTCATGAATGATAAATGTTGATTAACCAACAGATTAATTATAGTCTTTTATAACAGCATAATGTAATTATAAACCATTGCTTTTTAGGGGCCTCCAGGTCCTCAAGGTCCAATTGGCTATCCTGGCCCTCGTGGAGTAAAGGTATGGCTATTTTTGCTCTTCTGTATATTAGATACAACATTTCTGTTAGTTCTGTTATTAATTTATTTATTCACAATCTCTCATTGTTGTCTCTGTTTTTGAAAAGGGTGCAGATGGTGTTCGTGGTCTAAAGGGTGGCAAAGGGGAAAAGGTAATGCTGTGTTCAAACCATTGTTTATACTTTGATACAAAATGGACACTCTCTATAATAGAAAACCATACGCTGTGTGTACTGAATCACTATATTGTTAATGTTAATAATAGATGTCCACATGCTGAGAGGCATTGGATAAGTTGTTAGATGTAAAAATGTGTAGCTACTTGTGTGACCTGTTTCCAGTTGGAGATGATTTTTTGTTCTTCAAAAATAAGTCAATGAGTTTTTCATTTTATTTTGCTGGATACATGGGAGCTGTATAGATGCAGCCAATAACATTTTTTAACTGTGTCTTATAACTTTGTAGGAACTATCTGAGAAAACATATTGTTTGCCAGCCTCAATATTTCCTAGATTTCCATTGCTCATTGGCAGTTGGGAACAGTGTAGAACAAAAGATGAGGACATTTTAAAATCTAAGACCAAAAAGTTTGGGTTATCCCTTCTTTGCTGACTCTAGGTGCTCTATATGAAACTGAACCTCAAATGCCATTGTTAGCCTGTGCATTTTGCTGTCTGGCTGAGGAGCTGCCACTTCTGAGTCACCTAGGAGCATTTGAGCCATCCTAGAAAGCTTCAGGCTCTGTGCCATCAACCCAGTGACTCTTGGGAATTTCCTCTAGCTAAAAAATAGTTTGCCTTCACAGGCAGTTGCATAACATTAGTTCCCATCTGTCTGCGCTTGGTCCTGGGCAATACCTGGGAGCGATTATAGCCTAAGTTCAATATTCAGCCTATGAGAATGGAGGGACACATCTCAGCTGGCTGGCTACTGTTTCAAATGTGGGATAGAGGTTTCTCATAAGTAATGATGTGTTGATGCAAAATCCCTGGAGGTATCTCTCCAAGGATATCTGAAAATTGAGATGCTGGAATGGAACTGACACATTCCCTGGTTGCATGAGGGCAGAACTATTTTAGGGCAGCATACCATCCATCAACATGATCAGCTTAAAGCTCTGTAGGCAGGAAGAAATTAAAGATAGTTAAAATGTATTTAGCATTCATTAGGTCCCATCTACATGGCCATATAAAACAGTTTCAGAATGCAGTTTAACTGCATTGAACTGGATTATATGAGTCTACACTGCCACATAATGCAACTCAGTGCAGTTAAACTGCATTCTGCAACTGCTTTATATGGCCATGTAGATGGGGCCTTGGTTGGTGTACAGAGGGATAAGGTTCTTTCATTTGTTTGTTTAGATTTTTTAGTCTTGTCAAAAAGTAAAAAGCTTTTTTTAGTGACGGAAAGTAAGACGTTTCTGACTAGAGGGGAATGCAAGACAAACAGTTCTTTTGAATGGAAGAAGAATGCAAATTTCTTGATGTTTTCTTAACAATAGCTACTAGTACTTATTGTCAATTGTTCATACCAGATGTCCTCAACTGACTGGAAGCAGTCTGACTTCCCTTTATAAATCAGTGAGAAGCTTGTGGGCATTTCTGTGCACTCCTCTGTTACAAGCTTGTCCGGGCCAAATAGAATATACTCCACAACAAGACAGCTTACACTAATCTTACTTGGGTCAGCTAGTGAGCCTCGGTTCCTAGGATATGATTGTCAATATGTTTAGCAGCATCCTAGACTTCAGAAACTGTGAGGAAAACAGTATACTTGAGTGAGTTATATTGTCAAAATTTCCTGGTATTCTAAAAACAGTGTAGTTGCATCCAAAGGCTTAATCTTCTGTGCATCTGCTGCTGATACTGGACCTTATACACACCAGTTTTTTGTCTTGCTACAGTTGAATTAGTGTAGGGAATGGAAACATACTGGTTTCAATTCCAAAACCTCACAACCTCTGAGGATGCTTGCCACAGATGCAGGCAAAACATCAGGTCTAGAACATGGTCATACAGGCTGAAAAACCTACAACAACCTAGTGATTCTGGCCATGAACGCCTTCAACAATACAACATACTGGTTTTCAAACATTCATTATCACACTTATTTGCATTAAGGCAACAGCATTGCTTGGGCAGGCTTTCATCCTGTGATCTGTCTTCCACATGAGCCCCATAACCCTGCTTTCCTGCTTTATGCCATACTTCATTTTTAATAGAATAGCATGAAAGCAGGGGGAGGGAGGAGGAGAGTAATTCCCATTGATATTGGAGCTACTGCAGAATAATAGTAGTCCAGAAACCAGCAATGAAGAGGCAGTGGGATCAAGAGCCATTGATGGGTTTTAACCATCAGTGAAAAGGTGCACTACACTAACAGATGGGATGCAAAGCAGCAGGGCCAACATAGTGTTGTGTGATAAGTACTGGCCACAGACACTTTTATCCTGAGAACTTCCACTCTGCCAGGCTCTTGTGATAAAGTCCATAGCCATCAACATGATCTAAATAGGTGTAGAAAAAAAAGGTCCTTTTCATGGGATCAATACTCTGAAGTATAGGCTTCATTCAAAATTGTCTGAGGGTTCCTATACTGAGGAAGTTTGATTTCCCAATCTCCCAGTTCCTATCTTTGCCATCAGGATGACATCACTGACACAAAAGAAATATGATTGTGTTAATCAGCTTTGAATGATTAGCTAACATCTTTGGGCCACATCCTAGTTGACCTTTGAATGTCAGTTGTCTCGTGGAGGAACTGCCCAAAATTCTAATTCTGAAAATATAAGGAGGGCATTGTAATACTGAAGAGCAATGTTGTAATGAAAAGCTTCTTGATGAATTTAAAAATGAATTTTCCCTTTGCCTTAAGCACCTTTCTCATTATTCACTCTCCCATTTAATGCTCAAATGTAATTCAATTCAGCTATGGCAATAAGAGGTTTTCATTCTGATAGAAAAACTGCCATGCTAAAATTATTTGGCATGTTATGATCCAACTTTAGTAGTGTAAATTATTGAGAGTTAGAGCAAAAATAACTATGGCTGCAACATACATTATTTTCATGGATTCATTCAGATTCTTAAATCATTCCCATTCTGTTTCTAAATACAAATGTAACACGTTTTCTCTCTTCTTTTAGGGTGAAGATGGTTTCCCTGGATTTAAAGGTGACATGGGCCTTAAAGGTGACAGAGTAAGTCCCCTCCCCCCTCTCCTTCTCTCATTCACATCATATGTACATGATCTCTCTCTTTCAAACCCAGTTCCCCAAAGTCTGAGAAACAGAAACTAGCTTTGCTAATGAAGATGAAGTGTTATGCAGATAGTGGGTGGTTTCCCCCCTCAATGGATGACTTCAGGAGGTTCTTGGAGTCGACTTACAACTCAGCCACAATATGCCTCTTCACCTTTGATAAATGGATGGATCCATTATTATGCACTGCTACGGGAAAAAGTTAAAATATTCAGTATGATGACACAGTGCAGTGGAGGCAGATCTAACACTGAGCTAGGCCTTTTTGAACCTAAGTCATGTTGACACACTTCCATGCAAATGTGCAACTAGATTCCAAGAGTCTTTGTAAAACAAAACCCACTATTCCACAAAAGTGCTTACCTTTCTGTTGCAATTATGGGTGTTTTAATATTGAGACAAAAACATCATTGTCAATTGCCATGAATATAGATAACTTTTTATATAAATCATATGAATATGTCTTAAATTTACAGGTTTTTAAAATATTATTGGCAATCATTGTTTTAAGTTAAGAAAGCACTAAACTATGAACAGTGGACGTTGAGACTGAATATGTGTATGTTTGATGGTTAAAACTATGGTGAAACCACCTTGGCTTTTCAGATGCAGGACATGGGCTGGAACTTACCATGTCTCTATCTAACATGCTGATGGTTGGTATCTCTCCCCACAATACTGTCACATTTTGAGATATTTCAACCAGAACCAATAAAAGAAGCTTGAGGGTGCTGCCAATCATCCTTTTATTGGGGGGAATAATTTAAGTAAAATAGGAGGAGTTAATTTGGCAAGCTTCTGGATTTCAGTTAAGGTCCTCTCTTTTTCTTCTCCTTGCACATACTCATGTTATTAAATACTCATTACACTATCATTTCATAGAAACGTGTAGCTTGTTTTTTACATTATATTTACAAAACTTTTTTTAAAGGGCGAAGTTGGTCCTTTAGGTCCTAGAGGAGAAGATGGCCCGGAAGGACCAAAAGGTCGATCAGGCCCAACAGGAGACTCAGGCGGACCTGGTCAGGCTGGAGAAAAGGTTAGTAATGCAGTAACAGTACATAATTATGAAATAATGAGGATTTTCTAGTGTAATACTATGTTCTAAATTAGAAAAGGCAGGTGCAACATGGACCACTATTCCATTTTTAAATTCCATGTTGTTCAAATAGAATTCTTTGTAGAACATGCTTGTACAGCATATGTGGATCACATATGTGTGTTTTCTCAATAACTTAGGGAGAACTTGAATATTATGTACAAAATACCTCAGCCCCTTTTTCACATTGTGTCAACTCCTACATGTATAGGAGGTGATAACTTCGTACATTCGGAAATATAAACTGTTGAAATATTTATTTGCTAATGTTAAAATAACCAGACTTCTACTATTTGTGAGACAGAAGGTGGAAGAAAATATGCTAAATTATAGAAAAAGTGAAAAACAAAAGAAATCAACTTTTAAAATTAATTTATGTATATTTGCTTGTAGTTTAGACTTAGGCCCCATCTACACTGAAGGGGTACGTTAACATGAGGTGTCCAACCAATGCCTCATGATAATGCAGATTGTATTGAAATAATCCTGATAATAAAGGTTTATTCCAGGTTAAAATAATAATAATCCCTCCAAAGATCCACACCTTTCACTGGAGTGGGGCCAGTGAAGACTATCTGTGTTCTCAACAGCAATCTCCACGGCGATCCCACCTTGTGGGCTCAAGGTCCACTAATATCAAGCAGCCAATGGAGGGGAAATAATAGTGACATACTCCTCTCCCTCACCCCCTTTCCTGGCTGTAAAAGTTTTTAAAAGGCTGCTTACTGGGTGTGGAAGCTTCTAGGGGCTTTGTTTTGCATGTAAACGACACCTGGTGCTCTGGAGGGGCTCCCTTCTCTAAAAACTCTGTCACATCCTTTAGATGTAGAACAAAGCCCTTAGAAGCCCCAGCCTTTACAACAGAATTTCTCAAATGGTGTTCTTCAAATATTTTGGTCTTCAGCTTCCACAATTCCTAACATCTGGTAAAGTTGCTGAAATGTCCAAAACACCTGGAGGAGCACAGTTGGGAAACACTGCTCAACAGCAAGAAAAGATGGTGAGGGAGGGCAAGGGATGCAGTGGCCATACCCCCATAGCAATGGGGGTGTGTGAGGTTTTGGCCTCCTGTGTGGGCAGCAAATGTGCAGGGAACTGGAAGTTTATCTGTGATTACCTGCACATTTTCTGTACTGTGGAAGGGATTGTATATGTAATTCAGTGTGTCTCAAAATGTGCTTCTCCAGATTGAGAAGCACAGATGTCTTGGACTTCAACTCCCACAATTCCTAACAGCTGGTAAAATGGCTGGGATTTCTGGAAGCTGAAACCCAAAACTTCTGGAAGAGCACAGTTTGAGAAACACTGATGTAATTAGAGAAGAGATGTATATGTTGCGCAATTGTTGCTACTGTTGTCTGCGTGTTGTTTATCTGTGAGTTTTTATGTTTAAAACAATTAAAATATGGGGGAGGGGAGAAAAGCGGAATCATAGAATCATAGAGTTGGAAGAGACCTCATGGGCCATCCAGTCCAACCCCCCTGCCAAGAAGCAAGAAAATTGCATTCAAAGCACCCCTGACAGATGGCCATCCAGCCTCTTTTTTAAAGCTTCCAAAGAAGGAGCCTCCACCACACTCCAGGGCAGAGAGTTCCACTGCTGAACGGCTCTCACAGCCAGGAAGTTCTTCCTAATGTTCAGATGGAATCTCCTTTTTTGTAGTTTGAAGCCATTGTTCCATGTCCTTGTCTCCAGGGCAGCATAAAACAAGCTTGCTCCCTCCTCCATATGACTTCCTCTCACATATTTATACATGGCTATCATGTCTCCTTTCAGCCTTCTTCAGGCTAAACATGCCCAGCTCTTTAAGCTGCTTCTCATAGGGCTTGTTCTCTAGTTTCAAATTTTATTTTACCCATTGTCTCAGTTTTCAGTTCTTGCATTCAAAAATAGAGATAAAATATACAGTATGTTGTTAAGAAGATTCCTAATGCAATGAATGTGGACGGATTGAGCAACTGGTACTGAATGATAATGATATAGTTACTACTGCTTTTTTGTGAGCATGTAAGAAAGATATCAGTCAACGGGACAGAAAACAGGGACAGTTTGTAGATTTCCAAGTAAGAACTTTGTTTCCAATTTTCTCTTCACATTCTTTAAAGAGTTTACTTGTGAATGACTAGTATTTTTCCCTCTAATTAAAAACAGTGAAGTGGCCCCAGTCTGCATCAGAAATCTTGCTTTTTCTTCCTTTTTTTTTAAAAAAAAAAACAGTTTGCTGTTGGTCCTAATTTAAATGAGCCCTGTTCATTTTCATGTTTCCCATATATTCCTTTACTCCAGGATTTTAAGCAATATTTTATATTTTTATCCCCATTTATTTATTTCTGTGTCATGGTGGTGCCGAGTATACACAACCATATATAAGTGTATATACACATATCTCTTGGAAATATAATTGATGCTTGCCAGATTGTGCTTGCTAGATTGTGGCTCTTCTTTTAACCAAAGAAGAACTAATGTGTTTTTCACCATTCACAAGTTACTTTCATATGCCCTGCCATTCCTGGACACAAGCTACAGTCATTATGAATTTAAGTTTTCATGCAAGTACATTTCTGTTTTACAAGGAGGTCAGCTTGATATTTCTTGTAAGGATTTTTACTCATATCTTTCAGCAATTCTCAGGGTTCCTCTGAGAAAAACCAGTCAATGATCTAGAATTTTGATAAGAGAAGGAAAGTACTTTGTTTATTATTTGATACTGGTGACCTTTATAAGGTGGTATAAAAATACCTCAAAAGTTAGGTCACTCACTCCAGAAGGCATTCCTTTCAGCTTCACTTAACTTTTGGGAACTGTGCAGGAATTAATGGTCCCCACAATGTTGCAAGACATCCTGCCAGCTGTTAACAAGGTCATGCATCAAGAAAGGCAATATTATAATTATGGATGAATGAAAACATAATTGGAATTTCATGACTGAATTCAAACTAAAACCCACTTCTATTAAAAATAGAATAATGACTATCAATTCTGACTCCCAAAAGGCAAATTCCTATTCATCTTCTTCCATCTGTGTATATGGTATAGAAATATGATGATAAATGTAGAATTGGATGCAAAGACATATGGGTGGAAGGAGAAAGCTGCTCTTTTATTTTGTGAATGTTTGCAAAAGAATTTCAATATGAGTTTTCATAATACTAGAATACACAGGTTCTACAGGAGTTCATTTTATTTTATTTACTTCATTTTTACCCCACCTTTCACCCCTCAGGGTATTCATGGCGTCCCACAACTTTGGCAAGAATTCAATGCCGATAAAATCAAAAAATAAACTATAAAACATCAACTCAATGTCCTCAATACCTATTTGTTTATTACATTTATCCATTGCCGTTTTATTGTTGCTCTTTTTTGCATGCCTTAAAATTTTTTCAAACTTACAGTGACCCTAAGGCAAACATATCACAGGATTTCCAAAGCATGATTTGTTCAGAGAGGTTTTCCATTGCCTGAGGCTGAGAAAATGTGACCCCACGGGTTTCAGTGTGTTTTGTACTGAAGTCTCCCAGAATCCTGGTCCAACAAAAAACCATTACCGCTCCCCCACATATAATTGTACAAGTAAAAGTTGAACTCCTGTAGAACCTATGTATTCTAGCATTATGAAAACTGATTCTCACTTATCTTCCATTTAAATTATCAATCGAACATAAATTGCAAGATAAAAGGATGAGTATATAAATTCATTAAGTAATTGTTAAAAGTTAAAGATGCATCTGTAACCATGATATAAACAAAAGGAGGCAATACTATTTACCAGCCAGAGAAGTCCTGCACCACCAAATATTTTTCCACAGATGGAATATGATCCTTGATTTTAGTTTAACCATTGTTCTATGATAGCTTTATCATCTATTATAGATTTAGTCAAAGCTGCCGAAGGGACAGCTTTGGATCCAATCCATGTTTTTGATTGATTCTCTTTTCATAAAAATATAGCATTGCAAAGGGGTTTTTTATCTATTATTTTGAAAGTTTGTATATCACAAAGTTTGTGTATCACACACTAACTACATCTATGACAATATCTTCAGCAACAATATTTTTCTTTATTTCTTTTTTCATTTTTCATCTTTCTTTCTTTCTTTCTTTCTTTCTTTCTTTCTTTCTTTCTTTCTTTCTTTCTTTGTGTAATTCCCATTTGGGCCACCCTCTTTCACCTTTACATGTTGTCTCAGTAATCTAGTGTAACAATTTTAAAAGTGTAGATTCCAAGTTTTACAAACATTTCTAAAAGATTAGAGCTAAGAACAGCAGTAAAGTTGGTAGAAATTATAATGAAATTATTATAAATAACCATTGGTTAGAAAAATGTTTTGTTTCCATGAGCAACCGATTCCCCATTGCCTGCCTCTATTTCTGCTGATTTGGGGTGTTAGATCACACTAGTAAATGGACATAATTGTGTGTGGAATTCTATTTTATATCCTGGAGGCATAGTCTTCAGATCAATAAGCTATATTTTATTAGTTTTGGTTTTTATTGGCTCTTTCCTCCAGGTTTGATAAATACAGCCATAGAGACTAGAATGAAATTCCCTATCTAGTTTTATTTTGCCAAAACACGTCTAGCTCTGTCTGCCCTGTAATAAGTGGACCCAAAAGCTAGATTGTTTGTAAAATGAATGTTTCGGCCCAGAAGAGGAGATTGTAGGCAGATGAAGTGTTTCTGTATAATCTAGTTTGGATGGACAAGAGGAAAGGGCTGTGTGCAAAATAATAATAATAAAAAAAATTGTTCTAGCTTACCATTATTCTTTGATTTCTTGCTGCAACTTGTAGAACCTCACCAAGGAGTATATATATTTCTTTGCTTCCTCTTTCCTTTTCAGTCTGGGTGGATCCAAGTGTCACCTTTCACTATGTTCTACATTCACTTTCTGGCTAAAAGCATGTACATTAAGGCACATCTAAAGTGACCATTTAATTCAGTGTGGAATCAGATTACCTGCAGGCATCTATAAAATGTATGCAGGTTGTCCCAATTTAAATCAGGGAAAGCCACTTAATGTGGCTCTATTCTAAGTTTAAAAAATAAGGGTAAAGCCAGAATCCTACATCAGGATTAGGTTTCCTCCTGCATTTGGGAAGTGCAGAAGCCCACCACTGATCCCTATGCAGAATTGGCAGTGGGTGTCTCCGTCAGCTATCCAATACTCACCATTGTTTTAGGCCCGGGCATGTGGGATGACTGTCTCAGTCACATGGCATGGAACTAGGAAGAGGAAGCTGTAGACCATGTAAGATGTCTTTTTCCTCATTTTGTCTGGCAGCAATACTATGGAAAACAGAATGATATTCACTCCCCGCCTAGTGACACCAAACTGGCATTAGTGTGACTAGGCAGTAGGAACATCATCCCACAACTAAGATGGTTTGGGGTGTCCCTATTGGGCCACAATGTGACTAGAACTGGCATTTTGCATGCCAGTTCTGCCCCACATTTTGTAGTCATGTAGAAGTGGCCTTAGTGTTCCTTAGCTTACGTCTTTGAATGAAAAAGAGTAGTCTACTAATTTCACATTTGTCAGAGCCCCTTTAGCTAAGATTACTCTTACTTTTCAAACAGGAAAATTTCTTCATGTGTGTGTGTGTGTGTGTCTGAATGATGAGCTATGAACAGTTGTTCTTTAGGTATAATTCTTAATTATATTACCAAAGGCAGTCCTTAGGTCACAAATTTTGACCCAGAAACTTCAAAACTTGAGATGACCCTGAACAAATGACATTCATCCTAACAGAATCATATTTGCATGTCATATGCATGTATTTCTTTCACCCTCTTGCTGTCTTCATTGATTAAATGGGTTTCACAAAGTTTTGGAAATAAAAAGGTCTATTAATATCTCACACCTCATCTACAGTGACCATTTAATGCAATTTCAAACCAGTATTGAAAGTAGTTCCACCGTGCAGATGATTGCATAGGAAATCCTGGAACCAGTTTGAGACCTGGATGATAAATACAGAACTACAAAGTAGTAATGCACATTAAGGGATTTATTTATCGTGCTTTTGTGGGAGTTTGCTCTTTGGCCACCACAGTTTGAAGCTAGCTTCAAATTGTATTACATGATCAGTGTAGACAGAGCCTTAATCAGAGGTGAGAGGAAGATTAGTGTGCCTACAAGGATTGATAACTCTTTGGTTTCAGGTCTAATTTGATAAATTGTGTAATTGCCACTTGAATACCATGAACCAAGTGAAAAACTATTATTTCCCCTTTCTTTACCTACAGGGCAAGCTTGGTGTTCCAGGATTACCAGGATATCCAGGAAGACAAGGGCCAAAGGTAAATTTGTTCTCTAAATGTCAGTATTGGAAAACATATGTGCTAAATGCAGTGTTAAAGGTTGTTTGAGTTATGTGGGGCAGCAGTTTTAAGCAAGTGGTAAGCATCCATATATATTGTATCTGTAATTAAGTCCACATGTTGCATTCATCATCCTGAATGAGAAGTTATATTGTATCTATAATGAAGTCCGCATGTGGTTTACATTTTCCCAAATGAGGAGGTGATCTAATAATTCAGTTTAATTCAGTTCATCCAACTTAATCATGGTGGTAGTTGTGTTGAGAGCCATACAGCTATGAAGCTAAGATATGACACTGCCCCATTCTAAATCACAGTGACAAAATAAATTGGGGTAGCCAGCCTTTGCACGTCTGGAGCCACAGTTCAGTCTTCTTTGCTGTCACATCAAACCTATCAATCATAAGACACAAAGATATAGGACAGTTCTTTCAATTTTTGATGAGATGGTTTATTGTATGAGTAAAGAGTTAGTATTAGGGAGGAAGCTGCATTCCTACAGTGTGCAAAATCTGCAGTTCCTGGAGGTCTCACAAATACACATTTTTCCTTAAGAAAATCATTGGAGTTTCTTGTTGAGGCATGAAGACTATAAAAATGACTCTAATAGGTTTCACTTTGCTATAAATGGATGACAAACTATGTGCTCAGTATAAACATCAGCTGTACCTCTACTTGTAAAAATCATTCACTCTTAAGGTAGTCAAACAATATTATAATGATCTATCTATCTGGGTTGTCACTTGTAAACTAATAATATTTTTTCTGTCTTTTAGTAGATTCATTGGGACTTTTTTTGTTTCTAGTTATAAGTATGTATACCTTACTACTCTAGAATAGGAAGCATAGGTTAAAAGGGGGAGGAGACTGCTATTCGTCTGAACTTTTATTTGTGTACAAAGCACATTGGCCTCCATAGGTAAAGATGGCATTTTAAAAAGGGGAAAAAAACTTTGAAGACTGCCCATTCTTGTTTAGCATTTAAGTTTGTTTCCTGAGAAAGATGTCTGATTAAGTTGCATCTTACACACAGTACTGTGCTCCTGAGGCAACAGTATGTGTTTGTACCATTGCATTTGGGAGTCATCCCTTTGTAAAAGGACGATAGATTTATATGATTTGTAGGAAAAGCAGGGGATGGAACACATGTGTGCAAAAATGCTAAATCAGAATGGGCAATACCACAAAGTGGTATCATCCCAGTAAGCCAGAGATATGCAAAGTGTAGTATTTTTTAAAATGTTGCATAAAGGCTTTTTCAGAGATGGGGACATAAAAACAAAGTAGATATGCTGCATAGTCATAAGATGTGGCCTCTGTGTTCCTCTGTAGAAATAGTGTGGCCTCCTAGACTCTTATAGTCACCCATTCCTGCTCTAAGTATAACCAAATAGGCACCTAGGAGTTTAGTCACAACATTTTAATCGCAGGAAAGACATGTTAAATAGATTTCCATGTAGAATGATTGATATGACTTCCAAAAGCATGAAGTACATATTTGTGGGGATTAAGAGTGAAGAATCCTCACTAAGGGGGATAAATGTATTATTTATTTATTTCAAACATTTGTACCCCACCCTTCTCAACTCCCGAGGGGGGACTCAGGGTGGCTTACATCCGGCACAATTCAATGCCATTACATATAAATAATACATACAGTAATACATATAAAACACAGTAAATTGATAACAAAATTAGTTTCAAAATAAAAGTACATTAATGAAAAGTGCAATAATGCTGGCTGTCTAGCCTTATGTAGAAACAAATTCAGTGAGCACAACACAATTGGAAGCCTGTCCGTAGTCCATTTTCCTAACATTATCATTATTACCATTGTCAATTATTTGCCAGCTACCCAAATGGATAAACAATGACTAACTCCAGACCATCTACCCAGAGTCTCTGTAGAGCAGAGCAGCAGCAATGAATATACCAACCTCCTTCCAGTCTATAAAGCAGGAGGTTTGGGGAAGGGGCAGCTGAAATATCTGCTATCCTACTTCACTGAAGCAGAGCAGTAGTGCCGACTGTTGGCACCCCTTACCACCAGATCTACAAATCAGCAGACCTTGGGAGGATGAGTGAGTGACATCTCCACTGCTTTGCTCCCTAAACCTACAATAATCAAAACTGCAAGTGCGGTGGCCAGCTGTAGTAGAATGTTATACTCAGATCCTCTATACCATTTTGGATACATTCTTGATCATTTAAATCTTTAAGAATTTTGTCAATGTTTTGTAGCACAATCCTTCAGGACATTCTGCTATAATTTTCTATGGTAATGAACACACTCCTGGTAATGAACAGGAGAATCTGAGAGTTAGATTCATTCGTATTTTAGACCTCGATGAACACTAACCCTAATCACAGTTCCTCCTGTGGGGGAAGAAAGAAAAACATTTCAGAGAGAAAAAGATAGTTGAACCACACATTCTCAGTTCAGATGTTTAATTAGTTAACTGCTGTTAAAAAAGAGTCAGTGTTACATCTTTAAAGCACATAAAATAGACTGATAGATACAGATGGAACCATAGACCCATCTGCTAGAACATCTATCCTGAATAACTACCTGGTCCTGTGTGATATGTTTGCTAATTCATTGCATGAAAAGTACCACAGGTTTTTTAATTATTAGTGGGTTTTTTTTGTAAAACTTTAAATGGAAAGATAATATTAAGCCCCTTTTAAGTATTAGGCATCCATGTTTATTATGAATCTCCTTTCATTTTCTTCAGGTGAACTTTTTGTCCTCTTTTAAGGCAACAGTCTGTATTAATGTGATATACTGCTATTGCCATGGAAAGTATTCATCAAGAATATTCATCTTCAAACATAGGGCTTTGATGCACCTGCTTTTTTAACCTAAACGCCTGAGATTTCCATCTTTTCCTTTTTCTTTATTTTTCACTGTCATTGCTTCAAAACTCTCATGCAGTTTCTTAAGATCAAAGAGATCTTCCATTATTCAAAGTGTGAACACAAACGACATACTTCAAAGAAAATCTGTGGCCTTCCCCCCCGAAACAGAGGTGTCAGATTGAATTTTATTAAGCCAAATCTTCATTACATTAAAACTGAAATTAGGCAGTGTTCATGGCTTAATATTTTCAAGAGGGTTGAAAATGTTGAAAACCCTTGAAAAGTATATGGCCATTAAATTATATTGCAAGCTTCGGGTTTTGTGCTATGATTTCATCTGTGAGCCTCACAGTCTTATGGTCTTTCTGTGTTGCTTGGCTGCAATACTAGGGCCATGTCAGTGTGGACCAGAACAGTTCTTTGCTCCAACGTCAAAGGCAAAATATTTTCAGTAGAAGCAGAAGTTGACAGGCACTCCCATAATGCCTCTGTCCACTCCACTGAGTGCACTAACCTTGGAAGAAGCTTTCTTTTTTAAATAAATAAATAAATTATTATAACTTTTTTTAAAAAAATTGAAACATAATATTGTTCACACACACAAAAAGATAAAACTAAAAAGGGGTGGGAGTTGTGGAGCTCTGGCTAGTAGATTAGTTATATAAATATCTGCTGTATCACTGAAGAAGAGACAGTGGTTTGGGGAGATAAAGAGAATATATATATACACACACACATATGCTATAGTTGTTACATCCATATATTCCACATAAGTATTATTATACACATCATCTAAAAAAATTTAAAGTTCCAAATATCCACTATAGCAAAGCAGATACATTCGTTTTGTCATCCAATGTCAAAACTTGTCATATCTTCTTGTATCCAGTACACTTTCAATATTCTTTTCCACTGAAATCAATCCCCTTTGTTAGTAAATTAGTATTGTATACATGAGAATTCATTATATTACATTGTCATGTATTCATTTATTTATTTCTTAACACTTCTGAAACGTTATGTATTTGTATAACAGTATATGCTTCTAAAATATCTAAATAACAAGGTTTACAATAATTTCTGTTCAAATCAGAAAGTACTATTAAATCAATTATCTAAGGCCTCAAGAGTCAAGCCCCGGGGCACTTGTGTACTCCTTTACATTTTGGTCATCATCATGCTTAATTAAATACGTATCATCTTCCTGCAGATACAAGGCAGAACAAGCACAAGGTCAAAGTACCATTGTCTATGCTAGCTAAAACATATGAGAGTTGCAGTCTCATTAATAGCATCTGGAGGGTCACACTTTCCCCACCTGTGGAGCAGCCAATGTTGGGTTGAATGAATTAATTTGGTATGGCAGTTTCATGCATTATAATTTTACAAAAAAAAAAAATGCCTCACCCTTTGGACTTTTATATATACATTGTTGCAATTTATCCTTGTTGGTTGCTATCTGCTGTCCTGACCATGCAAATAGATAATGAAAGATTTATCCTGTATATATGATTTTTATCTATCGCTGTTCTTTCATTCATTGACTTTTCTTTACTGAAATGACCCAAGATATAGATGTATTAAAATGATTCCATTATTAATGTTTTTAATGCATTCCGGACTTGAAGAACCATGGTAAGCTAACAAGAGACCAGTTGCCAATAATGATTTTCATACTGATAAGTATGTTGTCCCATCAGATTAATATATGACGTGATATAATGCACTTTGTACAACTTACATGAACCTGAGTGGCTGTGCATGTGCTTTGCATAGGCAAGGCCCTTGGTTCAACCCCTGGCATTTCCAGGTATAACTATAGCTATAAATTAACCCTTGTTGGAAACCCAGAAAAGTTCTGCCAGTCAAAATAGATTCTGTCGAGTTGAATGTATCAATAATCTGATTGAACAGATGCCTTGTCCCTGTGTTTTTCTGTTCTACTTTCTTATAGGACTTTCTCAGTGCTATAGTTGCTACATGGTCATGGATGTTTCCCAATTAAACATGTCTTTTCTGATGTAACTACTCATGCAGTATAAAATGTTTTGCAATTGGCCAGGTAGTTAATAAATCCACCAAAACCATGATCACTCTTATTATAATCTGTAGTGAGTAAATGATAGATGAAATGTCTGTTACTGTCCATTTATTTAATTGTCAGTAAACTGAATGTTTGTGTTTTTCCTACAGGGCTCCACAGGTTTCCCAGGATTCCCAGGTGCCAACGGAGAGAAAGGTGCAAGGGTATGATATACATTCTTCATAATGTGGCTTGTGAACAGGAAGATCACACTACTAGTCAATTCAAAGGATGAACAAATTGGGTGGTTGTCCATTATATAGTGACCTAAATCCAGCATGGCTCTGAGGAGCTTTTTTGCTTCCTTCATGTAGCTATTATAGCTCCCTGACACTGAGGTCTGGAAGGGTTCCTAGCTTACTAAACCAGACTTGTGGGCTGCATGAGAAGAGCAGATTGTTCATATTTCAGTGCAGTAAAGGAAGAAAAGCCTACATATCTCACCACATGTGTTTCAGTGTCAATAATTTATTTATCGTATTTATCATATCAGAATTATTTCTTGATTTGAGACATGGGCATACTGGCTGATATCCGAACAGGGGATGGGCCGGAGATGTCACTACCCTGGTTCTTTCATTATTGGCTGCTACTTCCCGGCAGATGGTGCAATACCAACTAAACAGTATAGTTTCTCCAGTGGTGTAGGGCATAGACATCCTGTGATAATGCAGCATGTCTCATTAAGAGCCACATCCACTGTTTTATCATGATGAGATATGTTCCCACTGGGCATGCATACTCAGCAGCAGAGTAGCAAAGTGCAAGGGCAGATGTCTTCACTATATCTGGTTGTGATCCCCAGATTGTGCCAGTCAGGTTTCGTATGATATTGATTCTAGCACCCTCTTTTTGCTTGATATTCAAGCAGTGCTTCTTGTAGGTCAGGTCCAGGGCAACTCCTAGGTATTTGGGTGTGCTGCAGTGCTCCAGTGGATTCCTTCCCAAGTAATCCTCAGAGCTTGAGATGCTTGTTTTAAGATGAAAACCACACATCTATGTTTTAGATGGATTAGGAATCAACTAGTTTTCCCTGTAATAGGCAGTGAGAGCACCTCAATCTTCGGAGAGTGTCAATAATGACCATCTCATAACCTGCCACTTGCAGTTTGGACAACCCATATCTTCGAAAGTGGCATAGGTGGTGGTATATCTATGATGGTGAGTCCATGGTCCAGCGAATAGTCATCCATGGAGCAGTCTGTGCCTTGGTCAGAAAGAGAATGGAGAAGACTCACTTGTGCCAAACTGCATTCTCATCATAATTTCACGTTTTACATTGGTTTTTGACTACTGGCACAGCTCTATTTCCAGTAAGTCACATAATATTGGTTAGAAACCAGAGGGAGAGGAGCAGGAGGCAGCAGAGGCATTTGTAGTTAAGAACTGACAGCAGTCCCCATTTCCAGTTAATTATAAAACAAGCCTGCACTTTCTTCTTAGGGGGATTTCTCTTGAATCTTTTATGCATTCAAATTTGCCAGCACTCTTTTATTTAACATATATACACACACATAGAGAGAGCAACAGGAAAAATAAAACAAGTACGCAAAAAAATCATATTTAAATGGCAGTAAAAAGTCAAGATGGAGCTGCTTTGTTTATCTGGTTTGGGTGGATGGAATATATAACGCAGAGTTGGCAAGTGCTAGAAGGTCACTGCATCGCTATCCATAAAGCTCAACTGGATGTGGCTGATCACTTGTGGTAGAAATAGGATGAAGTCATCAAAGGGGAAAAAAGATGACTTGAAAATTGTGCTTGATGGTAGCTTAGCGTGCCATTAAACAAAACTGAAGTAATGTCTATCATTACTCTGCCCTCACTCCATTTTATTTAAATCAAAAGTAGGTCTGCAGATTCATCACTTCAGATATGAAATTAATGTGAGGTAATTGTATTTCCAGCATCCTTGGAAGGTCCTTAACTGTATTCATTTTCTCCAAGAGTGATTTTATCTGAGCTGCACGCATGACTCTTTTTCAAAAGCTCAGAACTGGGAGTGCTAAGTGATGTTCACATCATCCTTTTATTTATTAAAAACACCTTATTCTCCACCAGAAAGGTTCCCAAAGCATCTCACACAAGATCAACAGCAATTTTCCTTCATTTGTTAGTATTCTTTATTATATTAAAAGGTTTTCTTAACATTAATAGAAAAAATATATGAGGAAAAAAGAAAAAATAGAAAAAGAAAAACAGATTAGGAAAAAGTATGCATAAACTTTTGATTTTCCTCATGGTAGAGTATTTAAAAAATTATTTCTCAGATTATACCAACTATTGATACTTCTTCATTCAAAATCCCCAGTAACATACTTGCCTCATGTTTCTGCAAAATAACTTGTTAAAAACTAGAGTCTACATGTTAATTTCATTTTTTTTATTAATAAGTGTTTTGAGATTCCCAATCCTTTAAAAATATGTCATTTTTCTCTAATGGACATATATAGCCCACCCACATCTACTAAACCAGGCTATAACAGGAACCCACATTTTTCCTTTAACATTACAATACTGGCATGTTGAATGATGATTATTTCTTCCTCATAATAAGACAAATAATGATTACTTTCTTATAGTAAGACAACCCTGTAATTGGCAGCTATTATTATTATTATTATAACAATCCTGCTCCTTCTTGAAATCCATAGCAGCTGAAAACATAAAAATAAATTTAATTAAAAATTTAGACTATAAATATTAAAATATTGAATTATTAAAATTCAATTATTAAATCAGTTTAATTAAAACATAATTTAAAATCTATCGAATACATATATCTACTAACAAATTATTTTTAGTATAGCCAGAGGCATCCTTATACAGATATTTCATTATTCTAAAGCAAATATGCTTCATTGATTAACCAACTGAAAAACATATTATCTCTAATCTAATTGAAACCCTTGTATCTCACCTAGAGTTTCCTACCCAGTCCATCTCTTATGGGCATAATTCATGCAAGCCAACATAACCTGAAAAGAAGACATTGTCCCGAGTATATAGTTCACATTAATCTTGGTTGCATTATTTATTCCTTCAGCTGTTTCAGTCCTCTGCACAGAAGCTCACATTCTCCATCTTTTCTCTCTTAGATATTTTCTCTTCCCAAGGCCCCATCTCCTCTCTAACCTGGGTGCCATTGATCCTTAGTATACTTTCTCCAAAACACCTTCTTTCCTCTTGTATTGAATTTCATTGTGTCAGCCAGTTCTTCAATTAGTTATTTCTGCATCCTTCCCTTCAAGAACTTTTGGCTTGCTTGTATTTTTGGACTCTCCTCAACCTACTTCTTTATACAAAGTAAATTATTTTTTATGAAAATAAACTTGTGGAGTGATATTTGTTTGAGCAAGACACAAAGCATTTTTGTAAAACACCAAAAGGGTAGGAGTTGTACAAATTTTGTTTTGGTAGAAAAGTCTCAGACATCAGACAGAAAACCATCTTGCTTCATATAAGGTGACTATGTCCACTAGATGGTATCCTTACATGTTGAGACCTCTTTTCTCATTGAGGGCAAGAGCATTTCTTTACTTCCCACCTCTAGTTTGTCCCTAAGACATTGTGATTTTTTTTTAAAAAAAGTATATGGCATTACTTTGTATCATCTATTCAGAGGAGTTAAAATTGGCTTTTTAAACTTGTAATTGTCAGCTATCATTTCCATTTCTTGAGATTCTAAATAAGCTCCTCTCCAACTCTTCTTTCTTGTACCAGAAGAGTTTGTGATCTTAAATAGCCTGTCTTTCTTGCTGTGTGGATTTACAATTACAGTCTTGATTGAAAGAGGCTAAAGTGAGGAAAATGGGGAGAGCATGACTGGATTATACCGAAGAAGTGCTTTGAAACAGATGCCCATCTCACTGGGAGCTGAGATGAACTTCCTCCACATAGCTGTTTCAAGTAGCTCTCAGCCAATCTTCAGAAGAATAACTTCAAGCACAGTTTTCCTGTGGGCACCTTATTGAAATGAAGGACAATACAGTGTTCTGGTATCTCCCATTCATTGCAGTGGTGCTTATGGAAAAGATTCTTCCAAAGGATAGGGCAGTGAGATAGTGAATCTGCTTTGGGTGTTAGCATGGACTTGAGAGGAGCTCTCCAACATGCTGATTCTGTTTCGGGCAGAGTTCAGCACTGTGGATAATGCCTTTCAATTTTGGACTCAAATGAAGCTGCCTTGGATCCTGCTTAGTGAAGAAGGTAGGATGTAAATGTAACAAATAAACCTAGGGCATATATACTTTCCCGCTAACATAAAACCCAAAAACCACTGGAGATCTGAAAGGTAAATTTCTTGCCATGTCATTATTATTATCAAAGGAATAGCAGGACAGGAAAAAAATTGGCAAGTTTCATAATGTTGCTGATTTGAAAATAATGGGGTTTGATTTTAGGCATAATGAAATTTAGTTTCAGCTTCGATAGTGGGATTAACCCATGTGTCTAGAGCACTAGGCTTTAAAATGAACAACAGGGAGCATATTTTGAGCTGAGAGAGCAAATCCCAAAGCTCAGAAAATTGGGTAAGAAGGCAGAGTTTTACAATGCTAAGGAGAAATTGGACACATTTAAATTATCCTACCTTGTTCATGCCCACTATTATTATTTATTATTATTTTTTATTATTTTAAAATTTTTTGAGTGATTACATTTGGCCCAGCCATAGGTTTTAAATGCTTGTTGTTATTGTTTATTGTTTACTTTTGTTTATGAGATTTATTTTAACTGTTGCATTGATTGTTTTCTTATTGCTTTTACTGTTGATGTACTTTGGGCTCAGCCTCATGTAAGCCACACCGAGTTCCTTGGGGAGATGGTAGCGGGGTATAAATAAAGTTATTATTATTATTATTATTATTATTATTATTATTATTATTATTATGTTACCAATACAAATTGTGCAGATGCAGTACATTTTTTGCACATATAATGAGATGAGTTATTAAAAGCCATATCACAGAAGGGCCAACACAGTTCTTCATGTGACAGAGATCAGGTTGGGAAAGGCTCTCCTCTACACATATTGGCTTGCACTCTCAGTTGCAATGAACACATTTGAAAGGAGAGAAGAGTTATGTGAGAAGGGAGTACAATTGTTCTCTTTCTTCTTCTTGCCATGCTAATTTCTGATCTTAGCAAGAAATAATAGGGAATTGGACAATTGTCTGGATGGATAATTTGCAGGGAGAAATATTAAGCTGTGTTTATCTCTATCTTCTCTAACTGCAGCTTGCTCCCTTATGAACCTTTCAGAAACAGCCACGAAATGAGAACTCTTTACATTTTCCATACAAGAAGTAGTTCTGCATTTTCAAAAAAAAAGTGATCAGTATTTGAATAAGCTATTTATCAAAACTTGAATGCAAAGCAGGTAGTCAGATATAGCATATAGCTTTTGATCCTAGAAGGCTTTTGAAGCAGCACACCCAGATGCTATAATTAATTTGAATGAACTTTCTGTTCCAGGGCTTGCATGGCAAACCAGGCCCGAGGGGACAGCGAGGACCAACAGTATGTATTGTTCATTTCTGCCCATCACTCTTTTAATGTTATCATAATGATTTCCATATCAATTGAATGGTAGTTTGTTTATGCATGTAGTGCTCAGTAAATGCAATGAATACTAATCATAATCAGACACATGTCTTCTATTGCTCAACAGGGGCCACGTGGATCAAGAGGTCCAAGAGGCCCAACTGGAAAACCTGGTCCAAAGGTAATTTGACAGAATCTTAGAATCTGTTCCAGTGTCAGTTTTACTGGGACATTTTCTTCTCATGGAAGCATACATGTAATCTCTGAATAAATTGATATTTTTCAGGGCACTGCTGGCAACGATGGACCGCCTGGCCCACCGGGTGAAAGGGTATGCTAAGAGCAATTTATATTTCATGTTTTCTTTGTGTTTTTACTCTTCCAGGTCTGTGGACCTTTCCTACGTAGCCTTTTGTGGTTGGAATAATAATCTCACAGAAACCAACATAAGAGTATTTTTTCATATAAGGCTGTTTCCAGTTTTATGAACTGTTGTTTCATCTTCCATCCCTTTAACATAATTACCACTGGCGATAATCCTTGAGAATTCTTGGAGAACAGAAGAAGTTCCAGCAGACTGGAGGAGGGCAAATGTTGCCCCTATCTTCAAGAAGAAAAAAAAACACAAACAATTATCCAGTCAGCCTAACATCATTACAGGAAAGATTCTGGAGGAGATAATTGAGGAGGCAGTCTGCAATCACTTAGAAAGGAATGCTGTGATTACTAAAAGTCAACATGGATTTCTCAAGAACAAGTCATGCCAGACTAATCTTATCTCTTTTTTTATAGAGTTATAAGCTTGGTAGATGAAGGGAATGCTGTGGATATCTTGATTTCAGTAAGGCCTTCGACAAAGTCCCTCATGATCTTCTTACAAGAAAATTAGGCTAGGCAATTCTACTAATAGGTGGATCTGTAAACCTGAAGGGTGTTCATCAATCATTCCTCTTCATTCTGGAAAGAAGTGACAAGTGGAGTACCACAGGGTTCGGTCCTGGGCCCAGTTCTGTTCAACATCTTTATTAATGACTTGGATGAAGGTTTAGAGGGCATGCTTATCAAGTTTGCAGATGACATCAACTTAGGAGGGCTTGCTAATACTCCAGATCAGAATTCAAATTGACCTTAACAGATTAGAGAGCTGTACCAAAACTAACAAAATTAACTTTAACAAGGACAAATGTAAGATACTACACTTAGGCAGAAAGATTGAAATGCAAAGATACAGGGCCTCACTGGACAACAGTCCATGTGAGAAAGATTTTGGAGTCTTCGTGGACAACTAGTTCAACATGAGCCAACAGTGTGATGCAGCAGCTAAAAAAGCCAATGGGGTTTTGGGCTGCATCAAGATCAAGGGAAGTCATGGTGCCCTTTGTATTCCATTTTGGTTAGACTTCACCTGGAAAACTGTGTTCAATTCTGAGCACCACAGTTCAAATCAGATATGGACAAGAGGAGGGCAACTAAAATTATCAAAGGTCTGGAGACCATGTTGTATGAGAAGTGTCTTAAAGAACTGGCCATGTTTAGCCTGCAGAAGAGAAGGTGAAAGCCTTTGACAACACAAAATTATTTCACTTTGAATCCTTGTTTTAAAGGGGAAGCATAGAAGGTATTTTTGTGCATTTAGTCTGGGGGAATCCTAAGGGATTGAAAAATTGGTCCCTGACCCCCACACAATTTTCTCTCACACACACGTACCGCAATTACTATATAGTATGAACTGTTGATAAATTGATGTATTAAGATTGCAGTTCTATGCACATGTACCTGTAAGTACGCTTTACTGCATACAATGGGGCTGATGTTTGCATTAATATGGGGATAAAATAGACTAGGGGAAAAATACTGTGCTTTTAGAAGATGAACAGCTGTGCCCAGCAGGGAGGCATTGTCTTATAAAAGAATTCTCTTTCTTCTCATAGGAAGAAGTACTGTTTCCTATTTTAATGTATTTAAAAAGCAAACAAATATAAATCTGCTAAGCAAAAGAGTTCCCATTTATCCAATTATAATATTTTAATTAATTAATTGAATTGCTGAGTCGTTCTCACAGAAGAGTAACAACTTCAGAATTAAACCGTAGGCAAGTGAAGCCTTTTTCTTGTCACAACTACAGTGTGGCATGGATCGGACTCTGTTAACTACTCCTGCAATATCTGCATAATCACCCAGTAGCATTTAGTTTTCAACAGCTCTTGGAATCTGTAGGTCTTGTGATGCTAGAAGAAATACTCATAGTTATTCATATCCATAGAGTTAAAGCCAAATGTTTTGCATATCTCAGAATACTTCCCCCATTCTGGATAGCTGTGAAGAAATCTAGGAGTATCCCTAAGATGTCCACATTTAGCATGTGCTGATGATTCGGGTTACAAGGACTAAAGGCTTCTCAGTAGACTCAGCATATAACCTGATGTGCTTGAGAACTTCTGTTAGATAAAAAAAAAACCCTTATGAGGCGTTACTCAAACCAGTTCTGCTCCACTGAAGGATGAGGCAGGCAGGTTCTTAATGGGTTCCAAAGTTGTAGTACTTCAAATTATTTGATCAGTTTGTGTAGTGGAACAAAAAAAAAGTTCCTCTGATATGGAAGACCCATTTTATTTGGCGTTTCATAGATTGGTAACTACATGTTACATTGGACTCAGCATATATGAAAGTGACAAGTGGAGTGCCGCAGGGTTCCATCCTGGGGCTGGTTCTGTTCAACACCTTTATTAATGACTTTGGTGAAATTTTAGAAGTCATGATCATCAAGTTTGCAATGACACCAAATTGGGAGAGGAAGACAGGAGTAGAATTCAAAATGATCTTAACAGATTAGAGAGATAGGCCAAAACTAACAAAATGAAGTTCAACAGTGACAAATGCAAGATACTCCACTTAGGCAGAAAAAATGAAATGCAAAGATACAGAAGAGGGGAAGCCTTGCTCGACAGCAGTATATGTGAAAAAGATGTTGGAGTCCTCGTGGACAACAATGAGCCAACAATGTAATGCAGCGTTTGAAAAAGCCAATGGGATTTTGGCCTGCATCAATAGGAGTCTAGTGTCTAGATCCAGGGAAGTCATGCTACCCCTCTATTCTTCCTTGAAAAGAACACACCTGGAATACTGTGTCCAATTCTGGGCACCACAATTGAAGGGAGATATTGACAAGCTGGAATGTGTCCCGAGGAGGGCAACGAAAATGATCAAGGGTCTGGAGAACAAGCCCTATGAGAAGCAGCTTAAAGCACTGGGCATGTTTAGCCTTCAGAAAAGAAGACTGAGATGAAACATGATGAGTGCCATGTATAAATATGTGAGGGGAAGTCATAGGGAGAAGGGAGCAAGCTTGTTTTCTTCTGCCCTGGAGACTAGGATACGGAACAATGGCTTTAAACTACAGGAAAGGAGATTCCACCTGAACATTAGGAAGAATTTCCTGACCGTGAGAGCTGTTCACTTCAGCAGTGGAACTCTCTGCCCTGGAGTGTGGTGGAGGCTCCTGCTTTGGAGGCTTATAAGTAGAGGCTGGATGGCTATCTGTCGGGGGTGCTTTGAATGAGATTTTCATGTTTCTTGGCCTACAAGGTCTCTTCCAACTCTACAATCCTATGATTCTGTGATTCTGTGAAAGTATCAATGCAGAATTTGAATAATAAGTGTATTAGTAACTTAATGACCAAGACATTCGGTTGTTAGGTTTGTCTTGTTTCACATGGCTATAGGTACAATTGGTTAAACCATTGTGCTGGCAGGACTGTTGACCAATAGGTCAGTGGTTCGAATCTGGGGAGAGCGGGTTGAGCTCCTTCTGTCAACTCCAGCTCCCCATGCAGGGACAAGAGAGAAGCCTCCCACAAGGATGGTAAAACATCAAAAACATCTGGGTGGCCCCTGGACAACATCCTTGCAGACAGCCAATTCTTTCACACCAAAAACAACTTGCAGTTTCTCATGTCGCTTCTGACATGAAAAAAAATACTATGAAGAATCAATCAGGATTTATAATAAAAGGACCTTTATTTAAACAAGTCTGCACTCAACTCCTATCTGTCTCTGTCTCTCTAACCTAGTCTTTATACTAGTATGCTGAGCCACTTACTGGTCACTGTCCCTAAACCTGTTGTCTTCTCTCCTGGGTAATACATTTCTTTTCCTGTCTGCTGTCTTAACCATTCTACTTGGTTCTATATCCAGCAATACATATCTGTACCAACTGAAGATTTCAGAGTTTATTGTGATTGAGGGAACTATTAACATAGAATGATTATACTCATATGCTTGTTCTTATGCACACATACAAACACTCACTCAGGGTTTGTTTCTTTGTCTTTTTATTAAAGCAATTTACATCTTAACAGAAGTATATAATCATCCTCAACAACCATTCAAAGCAATATTCTAAACAGCCACCAGGAACCAAATCTCAGTGAATACCAACTACCAATTGTATTGATTTTTGAAAAGAAATCTTAAACAACCGGCCAATTAGTCTTTTTTCTTCTTAATTCACAAGTGCCTGTTTTTCAGCAGAAGAGGCTTTTTATTTTTAAAGTGGAAGAAACCAACACTCCAGTAAACACAGATTATTATAAAACAAATGGTCAATTGAAAGATTTGTTATGAAATGAACTGTGATTTTCAATAGAAGTATACAAGGAGCCAAAGCCAATTATCTAGTTCTTACAGTATCATTAGTGTGGCAGATATGGATTGCTTACCATTACACCTGCAGGAACATGTAATAGTTGATGCAGACTATCCAACTAGAAATTTCCATATCAAATTGTTCTATACATTTATTTTTGTTGGTTTATTCATACTATTTATATTTCAAAACAGCATACAATGAATGTGAAAACAATATAACTAAAATACCCCGAAACACATTTTAAACACATTCAGCTTCCATTTAAAACATTAATTTGTAGGAATAAAAATACTTAAAACATATTATACATTAAGAAGTGGCATACCCACTGCACTACCCCAACTAGGTAAAAGCTGAAGGCTTGCTTGCATAGAAAGGTATTTGCCAACTCGTTAAAAGAAAGTATTTATTTATCATGTCAGTATCAACCAGACAATTGTATTACATTTTTAACAAAACAAACAAACAGACAAAACACAAAGTTTGCAGTCTTGGTAGTTGATTAAATGTCCTTTGACCAGTATCTGGCCACTTGGAGTGCCTCTGGTGTTGCTGCAAGAAGGTCCTCCCTTGTGCATGTGGCAGGCTCAGGTTGCATTGCAGCAGGTGGTCAGTGGTTTGCTCTTCTCCACACTCGCATGTCGTGGATTCCACTTTGTAGCCCCATTTCTTGAGGTTGGCTC